GTCTACAAAGCTTTAAATGTGTAATATGAGACTAACTTTTTATTACCATACAATCTGAGACCACTGTCAGAGGAACAAAAGCGCTGAGGCAATACCTTGCCAAAAGGTGTTAAGTTGTTTGTACTTTTTATTAGGGCTGCACAAAAGATCGCGTTTGAACATTGATATTGCAATGTGTGCGTTCGCAAAAGTCACATCGCAAGATACGCAATGTTAAGTTGGGATTATAGATGACCAAAAACCACAATTCAAAACAATGAGATTTGTGGAGACACTGCAGAACTGAACCATAATAAAGTGAAAGTTTATCATCTGCAATGGTTTTTTTTAAGGCCTGTGAAATTTAAGAGAGTTTAAAGCATTTTAATAGTGCAGAAAATAAAGATTAAATTTATTGAATTATTTAAATGACAAATAATATGCAGTGTTATTTTACATTTGACTATACAATTTCTGTAGCTAAATACTGTTTCTCTCCCACGAACACCATTTATATTAATTTAACATTTGCTTATTTACTGTAGTCTGTTAATCTTATTAAATTATATACAATATTATATTTCACTCCCCTATCAATCAATTTAAAGTAACTTTGCAAATAGATTTGTTTAAGTCTTCTGGTGAAATTATATTTATATTGCAATATATACTACAGGGAAAAAAATATTGCAATGTTAAATTTTTCCAATATCGTGCAGCCTGTTTTAGGTACTAATATGTACCCTGAAGGTTCTTGGATGAAGCATTTAAGTACAAAAATGTAATATTTGAAAAGGTATCATCTAGGGCTACACAATATATCATTTGAGCATCGAAATCACAATATGTCCGATTTTTCCAATATCGTGAAGCCCTGGTACCATCAGTGACAGCTTTATAACTTTATTTTTGAGGGTGTATTACAGTTCAGACTCCGAGATAATCTGCTGGCTGTAATGTTGATGTAAAGCTAACAACCACTATATTATGAAAGAATATGTGTATACTACAGACATTTGCTTTCATGTTTTGTTCTACAACATTAGTTAAAAACACTTCAAGCTAATTTAAAAACAAGTGTTTATTAAAAGCATAAGCAGCTAATATCACAAGAAAACTGGAAGATCATGTTCATAAACCGAATTCTTGCATAAATACCTATTATTAAGTCTCTAGGCTTTCTTCTAATAAAACTAAGAAATAAAAAGGTGATGTTTTATAAAAAACATGGAGGCGGTTCATTTCACTGTGGCAACCCCTAATAAAGTGGAATAAGTAGAAGGAATGTGAGTGAGTAAGATGGAAAGGTACTTATCTATACTTCTAATAACAGATAAACATAAACTGCAAGTAGGAAATACTAATAAACAATGAGTGTGCATTATTCTCCAGTAATTCAAGCCATTAAAGTCAGTTAATCCACTAATAATACTAAAACAAATTGCAAGAAATTTGTTCAGATTGTTCAGAGGTTGCGTTTCAAGACAGCTGTTAGGTTTTATCTTAAAATGCACATTTGCAGGACTAATTGCGTATGCATCTCGTCCCAATTCCTGCACTGGCAATTTCAAAAATGCCATTTTAGAGCTGGAATATGAGGCTTGAGCCACTGATAGCAGACTAATGCAGTTATTAGAGAAAGAGCGAGAAAGATTCATGTAAATTGCCATATACTGTATGTGCCTTTTAAAGGAGTCTGGAGTGTCTGCTTCAAAAACAGCACTTTACAGTATTTCACATCGATTCAACAGAGCAGCAGTAAAAAACTATTTTTATGAGTCTTTGTCCCTACTGTATACGTGCGTTTGTGTGGAGAGCAATAGAAAGAGTTTTTCATTGATAATTAAATGTAATTTTGTGACAAAACCAGAAATAATCTGTCATTATTATACTAATAAAAATTTTGAGATGTAAACAAAAACAACAGTCCCAACGTATTTCCCGTATTACATTTTTAATTTCTATAGCTTCAGAAAATTCAAAAAGAGCCGCATATTGATAAATAATGTTATGAGAGCTGTTTTAACATTAAGTTTTAATTGAATTGCCTCTTGTTACAGTTATGAAGTAGTTTGATAACAAGCAGGAAATGTTCATGGGCCAATGACATCACCACGTTGAAATAGTCTATTGATTAATATATATACTAGTATATATATGCTTGGTTTGCTGTTGCAGGCTGTAATGACCTTTGAAAAAAACTTAAATCCTTTGATGAAGTGATTTATAAAGAATAATGTGTGAAAAAAGAATGATGACAGTCCACTGAGTTATTAGACAATTATGCACAACCAAGGTTGTGATGCTGTTACACCTCAAGCATGAATTACTTTCCTAATAATTAAACAGGCCAGATTCAATTATTAAGCTTCTACAGTTACCACACCTACAGAATTACTTCAACACATTTGACAGTTTTTTGTCCTAAAACTGCTCATGTCTGAAGGACTAGTTTAAACGAATATCATCCAAGCCTCTGTTGGTAATCCAAAAATGTCATTTTAGATCTAGTAATGGACATTTAAGTAACTGCTAGCAGGCTAATGCAGTTACTAATATTAATACATTTATTAATATAGTTATTAATATAGTTATGGAAGAGAGAAATTTGGTGTGAATTATGTTATAAAAATTAAGGGGGGGGGGGGGGGATATAAATATATCCTTGTAAATTTACTGATTATTTTTGCTGTTATTACTGTGTTATCCTAAAATTATAATTGTTAAATGTACAGTTTGTTCTGATCAATTACTATTTTTATTGTTATAAATATAAATTATATGATATATTGAATAATAATGTGATATACTGAACAATAATATGATATATTGAATAATATGATATATAATTGTTTTTATTTGATTATTATATGTATATATACTTTTTTAGTACTACTACTACTGTTTACTGTTTTTATTAGACATGTATGTTCTTTTATTTTTATGTAAACTTTATAACTGCTTTGGCAATACATTTGTAACATTTGTCATGCCAATGAAGCAATTACTGAATTGAATTGAGAAGGAAGGAAAAAGAGAGTAGCTAGTTAAAAAAATTACATTTTGTTGCAAAAACGACAACAATCAACTTTTGAAACGACTGATCAGCATATTTACTTTGTTAGTGTATATAGTTTTTTGCCCGTTGTAATCAAACTAGGGCTGGGAGATTTGGCAAAAATGCAGTCTTAATAATTTATTCATTTTCTTTTCGGCTTAGTCCCTTTATTAATCTGGGGTCGATACAGCGGAATGAACCGCCAACTTATCCAGCATATGTTTTACACAGCAGATACACTTACAGCAACAACCTAACAATAGGAAACAGCCATGCACTCTTACATTCACACTCATACACTCCAGACAATTTAGCTTACACAATTCACCTGTACCGCATATCTTAGGAATGTGGGGGAAGCCCACATGAATACAGGGAGAACATACAAATTCCACACTAACCGGGGCTCTAACCAGCGACCTTCTTTCTGTAAGGCGATTGTGCTACCCACAGCACAACTGTGATGCTCACAATCTTGATAATTATTTTCCATATTGATCGATAACAATATATATTTCAATATCAGTAGTTAATGAATCTAATCTAATCTAATGCTTCCAGATTTAAAACAGTACCCCAACAATGACTGAGGCTACAAAGATTAGAGTGTCAAATAAATGCCATAACATATTTTTGGCTGATAAATTTTCGGTAGGTGAAAATTTGGTACATCTCTAATATCAACACACTTTAAGATTCCTATTGTTGCACATTTCTGCTGTGTGATTGTCTCTTAGATCAATATAAAGTAAAGAAAGTCCAGAGCATATCATTGTTATTATTGACATACATTTTATTGCAATTCGATATAATATTGTTTATCAAAAACAAAATTAAACTGTTATTAAACTGTAACAATCTTTAGAATTACCTAAAATGTTTAGTGCAGTGATATGAAACTGTAATGAAATCAGGATTTATTGTAAATATTTTAAACCGTTTCTTCAAAAATAACAGCACACCTAGGTCCGGACATCCATTAACAAATCTGAATCTAGCATTCAAGAACACCATACACTCAAAAATATTACTTTTGCTAGCTTGTTCAAGCTAGCTTATTTAAAATGAGTTGAAACAACAGAATTATTATGTTTTTGGAACAACCTAATTGTTTTACGTTCAAGCCACTTAAATTTCTAAAAACGATTACGCTAACTTAATCAATTTTTTTGTTCATGAAGGAATTATGTGAAACCCAGCATTTTTACAGTATATCATAAGGAACTGCAATGCACTCAATACCTGCTTGGAACTACTTCAGTTATATGTTGTTGTTTTTAATAACTACACACCTTAGAACACTTATCAACCAATCAGAATCAGGCATTCAACAACCCTCTGCTACAGTAATACATGCAATTCAGCGTTGTCCGCTTCTTAAGAGGCCTGAAACAACGTTCCCACTTGTTCTCATTAAACATTCTCGATTTGATTTGGTCAGTTCTATATATTTAAACGATTCATTTGAATAAATACCTCAGTGACTCATCATAACACTAAAAGACAGTCACGGGATGTAACCTGCAGAAAGGGTCACAGGACCAATCGATTACCGAATTCAAGAGAATCGATTCACCGGACTGTACCAAACCGTGTTTACATGACCTTCCGAGTGAACATACAGGCTAATATTTCCCAAAATACGCTGTGCATAACTAGACAGCTGTGAACAGAGCAGATTCGTCTTGTTAACCCCATGACAGTCCAGTAATAGCAAGGCAGGAGAGCATCCAAACATCAACAGCTCTGCCACTGACAAACCATGACAGATCACCGCAAACCCGCAGCACACGCACATCACGAATCATCCACACACCTAAACACCCCGCATGACCTCTGAATGAGCTCTGTCAGAGCCTCGTGCCTCAGTAATGAACCACTGCAGACGATCTGACAGACTCCCACCCTTTTCTCCATTTCTCCCTCTCTCCCTCCCTCTCTCTGGTGGGACATGCTTGTTTACCTTCTTGTCGATGCGGACAGTGAAGACATCGCGGTCCCTCAGCGGCTCCCGACTGAGGACCAGGCCGTGATTGAATTCCTGTACCGGCTGATTCCGTTGAGCGGTTCGGTTGGAGTTCGACAAACCGATCAGTTTTCCGCTGCGCGGATGCAGCTCAGCCGCCATCTTCGCACGGGCGGCGCGGTGCACGACACCGAGCGTAGTTTTGCGACAGTGGGGAGACGGTTGTAGGTAGTTCGCGATTGGCTATGGGTATATTGCTAGTGGTATGTATCATAGACATAACCAGACTTAATATATCAGCCTCAACTTGATAAATGTGTACATGCTCAGAGGTATCTGTAAAGACAATTCTTATATGCAGTTGTAAATGAAATGCTGCTAACGGGCAAGGGTCGAAACTGGATGAATGTGCTGTAGGTAATATGTAAATATATGCACACATGCTCATTATGTATTGAACAACACTCACACGAGATCTCAGCTTCAATTACAAAATATCTGAACTTAAAGGCCTTAATTCGATCTTCATGAAATTATAGAACATTTAAAAGGACTTAAATAAGATCAGAAAGTGTTACATTTATATGCACTGCCACAACAACTAAATGTGAAAATGACTTTCTGTTTAAATAGATTGTGTCCATCAGCAAATGTTTGTTTGTTACCATTTTGGTAAAATTAAGTCATTAAGATCTATAAGTACTTGTATTTGTATAGTGTAAAATTATTCATACTTAATGTTTTAAATTCACCTTCATAAAATGTGCAGAAATAATTGTAGAGTGTACAATTATATAATGTCTGATATTTATTTTTAAAAAGCTGCCAGTGTTTTAAAATTGTGAACTGTACTACCTTTGTGTGAAATATTCTCTAGATGGCAGTATTTTACAGCTAAACTGACCTAAACTGATGAATGCATCCACAGCATGTTGTCAATTGACAGGGGAATTATTTTTGTTTCAGGTTTACTAAATTCTTTCCTCTTCAATAAATATTAATTCTAATTAATATTTCTCTATATTAATTCTAATTAATACGTCTCTAATAAACTGCTTTACTTAATGAAAAAATTTCTGACTTATAACTAGGGCCAGACAGAATCTGTGGACATTTTCAAAAAAAAATTTGACATATGGGGTATGTGAAAGTTTCACATACACAAAGTAACAAAGTAAAAGTAGTAATGTCAATTATTCCCTTCTTGTTCTGTTAAGATTTAAAAATATTTTATAATTTTTTGACCTCAGTTACAAGAAACAAGAAGGCTATAAAACATCTCTAATAATGAAAAAAAATCTATACAATCTAATAATTTAAATATTATGGTTTCCCCTATATAGTTGAAGTCAAAATTATTAGCCCCCCTTTGATTTATATATATATATATATATATATATATATATATATATTTCATAAATTATGTTTAACAGAGCATGGAAATTTTCACAGTATGTCTAATAATATTTTAATAATATATTTTTTTTTTCTTATTTGTTTTATTTCAGCTAGAACAGAAGCAGCTTTTATTAAAAAAAAAAAATTAAGGTCAAAATTATTAGCCCCTTTAAGCAATTTCTTTTCTGAGTCTACAGTTTAATACAGTCTATTACCCTAACCTGCCTAGTTAACCTAATTAACCTAGTTAAGTCTTTAAATGTCACTTTAAGCTGTATTGAAAAGATTTTTTTCAACACATTTCTAAACATAATAGTTTTAATAACTCATCTCTTATAACTGATTTATTTTATCTTTGCCATGATAACATGAAAATGAAATTCTCTGTAGTCAATAAAGGTATATATTTAAAAGCAAGAAATATGAATAAATGTATATTTTGATTAGCTATTGCATGTATTATATATGGCATGTTGTATCTGAACAAAAAGACAATCTAAATTATTGCAATTAATTTAAATATAATTAAAAGATACTTTGTGTGCTTTTGAAAATGCTGCAGAAATGTCAGATGTGCGAGTAGGATACATTTAATACAAAAGCACAATTGCTATCAAATTATGTAAGTTAACTGTGAAAATGATGACCCATTCCATTGCAAAACAAAGGAGTAGCATCGAAAATAATATTTATGCACGTAACCTGCACATTTGATTGCAGCTGATTTATTTTGTTCTCTGAAATATGGTCATTAAAAAAAACATTTGCTTTTATATGTGTTTGCAAACACATTTCAGAAGAATTTTCATTACAGTGTTTAATGTTCTGTCGTTTTTAAACATATTTTAATGCTCAGTGTAACATAATTGACATTTAATAATTTTTATATTGTTTATTAATACATTTTGGAGGTTATAATGACTGACTAAAAATTTAGCAGTTTTAAATAGCCCTTCCTGATTTGATCAAGAGTTGAGCCTGTCGGGATGATTGTGTTAAATCTCTACAAAGTGAGTTCATTCATTGCTTCTGTAGGACAGCTGTGGGACGACACCGCTGTGTGTTTGTACGCTGCCCGATCAAGATCAATGACCTGACCCTGGACAACGATTTTCTCCAGACACCCACGCAGGTATGGATTACTTTTTGCCACCTCGCTGTCACCTAAAAAAAAGAGAGAGTTCATGGACTCAATTGAAAAAGGAAGGATTTGTTAAATAGACTCCCTATACTAAGCTGACAAATAAAGAATTTAACAATGACCAATGCGGATGTTGCTGATGGAGTAGTTTATCACGGAAATTCGTGCTCACTTTACCTGGCACTCCCCCAAATGTCAGGAGCATCCCATTTTTCCACATGGAGAGAAAGTCCAGAGTTTCCGATTTAACCTTTGGTTTGCTGTTTACCACAAGTGAATTTTTCAGTATAGTGAAAGTAAGTGTTGCAGGTTCACTGGGAAATTCGGTTGATCCATCTTTCAGGCCCAACTGTGAAAAAGGGTGTACAAAAATGTTGTGTGTTTAAAGCTATAACTGAGCAATTCCATGCAAATGTCAATCTTGCAATAAAATAAACTAAACTTGACCAAAATACAGAAAGTTTTTTGTGGAAGCAAATATTTTATAGTACTTTAGAAATACTCAAAAATGTCTCTGACAATGTTTTCAAACTATTATATTGGATTTACTGAAGTCACACAAGTGGCAATTTCACATCCATAACGACACTGTTTCCTCATAAATGCAAAAGTCTTAAGTAAAATAAAACCAATATTTTTTGTTCTATAAACCAACGTTTATACTTTTGATGAGCATTATTGGGGGGGGGGGGGGGGGGGGGTTGTGCAGTTTAATATACAGAATTTCTACAAAGTATGTTGTTTACTGTAAACTCGCTAACTTTTTTGGTCAATCCATAATGCATGTTTATTTTGTCTGTTTAAAGTACAAAACATTTTTAGAGAATTACATTTTTCTCTGTGGTCAGCTGATCTGGTAAATAAAAACAGATGTTTCAGTATAATGTTAACATATACTTTCTATGTGAATTTATGGTTTGAGGTTTTACTGCAAATGTCACCTCCATAACACTGGAATTATCTATCAATAAGCAAATCAGTTGTTACAATGGTTATAAATCTTTGTTAATATAACAGTTTGTTGCTTCATATTAGCTCGGGTCTATAGTTAATATTAAACAATTTCTTTATTAAATGAAAAAACAAACAAAACAATAGTTTAATTAATTAATTAGTTTGGACTTAGAATGTTGAAATTTATATTTTTATATGTCAAACAATTGCATTATTGAATTTAAAAATTTTAAAACAATAAAGTCTGAATTTTGATATAGATCAGGGGTTTTCAAACTTTTCAGCCCGCAACCCCCAAAATAACAATGCTAGTGTCTTGCGACCCCCACATACCTTGAAGGTGGTTATAAATATATAAATGTTGCGGACAAAGCAAGAGGCCTATAAACACAAGCACATTGACAACACCGAAAAGTGCAAAAGCCAAGCAACAATTTATGTAGTCATTTATTAAATTGTGGGCAGCATGGTGGTGCAATGGGTAGCACAATTGCCTCACAGAAATAAGGTCTCTGGTTCTAGCCCTAACTGGGTCAGTTGGCATTTCTGTGTGGAGTTTGGATGTCCTCCCCATGTTTGTGTGGGTTTTCTCTGGGTGCTCTGGGTTTTCTCCACAGTCCAAACACATGCGCTGTAGGTGAATTGGCCGTAGTTTATGTGAGTGTGTGCAAGAGTGTGTGGGTGTTTCCCAGTGTTGGGTTGTGGCTGAAAGGATAAGTTGGCAGTTCATTTCGATATGGCGACCCCTGATTAATAAAGGGACTAAGCCGAAAAGAAAATGAATGAATGTATAAATAAATTGTTTAATTTAATATTATAACCTCACCAAATAAGACTGGTGCACACAATGTTTTCAACACAAGCCTATTCTTGGTTTAATTATGGAGACAGCCACTCAGAGATAATCCTCATTGTTCAGTGTGGCCTGTATTTATTTGTAATGTATTTGATTGCCATAAAGGTGTCAGAAAGTTTAACCTGGTGCTATAAAATAAATCTTCTGCAGTTGATGCTATTGCTGTGTTGTTAATCTAATGTGAACACATCAATTCATTGAAAAAAAATATACATTTGCATGTTGTTTTTAATGTTCCTATTAAATACTATTTTATCTACTGTGGGTTATGGATAAAATATGGTCATTCTAATTGTTTAATAAAATTTATTTTACTTTTCAAATCACCAAGCGACCCCCTATCATTGTCCTGTGACCCCCACGTTGAGAACCACTGATATAGAAAGTTGCCAAACTTGAGATATAAAATTGATATTAAAAAAAAATTGCAATTATGAGAAAAAAGTCAGAATTTTGAGAATCATTTTAGTTAGGATTCTGAGTTCATATAAGTTTCACTTGATTTATGATTTACAAATTTAACCATAAATTTAGGATTTCTCGTAATTCTTGGATTCTTGATTTTCTCAGACTTACAGTAAAATGAAACTACTAAATTGGCCGTTGTGAGTTTATTTTTAGCAATGGAAAATGTGTCTCACGAATATTTTCTGATGGTAAAAAAAAACATTAAAGGGACAATAAGATTGTTGCTGTTTGTGAAGGATAAGGGAGCTCTCAGATTCCATCTAATATCTTAATTTGTGATCTGAAAATGAAAAATAAGTTGATTAGTTGACTTAAAAACGAGAGTAAGCCTATTGCTTTATAATCATTAAGAAAAAAAATTATGTGCATAATTATAAAAGTTCAGTCATTTAGTTTACTGACCCAATTTTCTTTAAATATAGACAAGGCTAGTTTATTTATATAGCATTTCATTCGCAATGGTAATTTAAAGTGCTTTACATAAACGAGAATAAAAGAAAAAAGAAAAGAAAAATGACAAAGAATTAAATATGATTACAAACAGACTAAAATGTGTTAAAACAGGTTATAAATGAATGAAAAAGAAAAGAAAGACGTAATTGTACAATGTGTCGTACAAAGCACAGTGCTCATTCAGTAAAGGCACAGATAAACAGATTTGTTTTAAGTCTTGATTTGAATGTGCCTAATTTTGGAGCACATCTGATCATTTCTGGAAGCTGATTCTAACAGTAGGGTGTGTAATAGCTGAACGTGGATTCACCCTGCTTTTACTGAACTCTTGGAATTTTTATTTACATGATCCTAATAATCTGAGGGATCTGTTGGGTTTGTATTCAGGGATCATATCTGTAATATATTGAGGTCATGGGCTATTTTAGTAATTTATAGACAGGTAGTAATACTTTAAAAGCTATTCTGAATGTAACTGGAAAGGTCTGAGGACAGGTGTGATGTGCTCTGATTTTTTGGTTCTGATCAGAATTCTGGCAGCAGCGTTCTGGATGAGCAGCAAATATCTGACTGTCTTATTGCTTTTAAGGCAATGTGTTTACTCTATTTAAAAAAAAATGTTAAGTAAGTAATCACTTTTTACAGTGTGGGGAAGAGTAAATAACAGTGTCATTTTCATTTTTTTGAGTGAACTAACACTTAAACTGACAAATGAGGGAATTAAATTCACAATTCAGTATTGTAAGAAACTGCTCATTGTAAGGAGTTTGTTTAAGTTGTTTTTTTTTATTTATACATACCTTATCATCTTTATCCCCTTCTAAAACATACAAAAATCCTGTGCTTTGGAGACTTAGTGTTGTCCCAATCCAAGATCCAAAGATCTCTACTGTGATTCCGGCCTCTTCAGTCTTAAGAGCAGGAAGATCTGTGGTGACACGTCCATGGAAAGATAACGTCATCTTATCTGCAATGCAAGTTTAAACATACATGATTTTTCACTCACCAGATGTATTAAACACAGCCACTCCAGTTCCTGGAAAATAGCTCCCTTTCTTGATTTCTGAAGAGCATGGCCGAGGTTCCCATGTTGAGTCTGTATCCCAGGGGGTGCTGAGATTCAGCCAATGCCCTCCTCTGATACACGCATCCATTTCTGGCTCAAACTTAAGTAATTGGATAAAATGAAAGTCACATTAGCACGACTCAGTCAATGTAACGAGTAATAGTTATTTTTCACTTTTCAGTTCAAATGTTATTGGGAATAGACAAGCAATCTTACAGGATGGAAGAGTTTTTGTTTGTCCACCAACATGCCACCGAGAGCCAGACGTATCTTCCCTGTTAGTTGTTCTTCTGCCAGTTTCGAATGAAGTCCCACTACAAGTTCTACCTCGTTGTTTACCTCCAGTACCACAAATTTACCTTCACTGCGCAATTCCAACTGTCCAAAAGCAAAACAGAGCTTTTATTCGTTCATCTCAATATAGCAGTTTAAAAAGGAATAAGGTCTCATTAAAAAGACGTTAGCTAAAGCTATATACAGTATGGACAAAAAAAGGAAAAGGACCTTATCAAAATTTAAAATAATTTTATATGTAAACCACTGATGACTTCCTAATTAAAAATAAAAATATGACACCATTTAGAGCATTTTGTTTTTGTTTTTTTTTTTTTTACAAAAGAGCAAAATCACCCTAACTCAAACAACACAAATACCAATGCTTTAACTTCAGAAGAGTTGGGAAAGCAATATTTGGTGGACTGACCCTGATCTGCAGTCACAACAAATTAAAACATTTGTTATTTCTGCCAACTGTGATTTTCTGAAAGAAACAAATCTTTCTCTGGCTGCTCTGGCATATTTATAACAAGAATCATTTGAGGTTATATTAGAAATAGAATAATGATTAAGAATCACAGTGCTGTCATAAAATACTAATAATTATCACTTTAAATGTTTATATATTGCATGTTTGTCTCTGTCAGCAAGACATTTTTAATAATTTATGATTTGTATAGAATGATTGCAAAAGTTTGGGGTCAGTAGGATTTTTAAATGTTTTAAAATAAGCTTCTCCTGCTCACCAAGGCTCCATTTATTTAATTAAAAATACAGTACAAATTGTAAAATTGTGAAATGTTATTGCACTATAAAATAACTGTTCAACAGTTTAGTTTATCATTTCATTTAATAACTTATTCCAGTGGTTTTGATGAAGGATGA